TGGACCAGCTACTAATTAAAGACAGTCTGGGTCTAGCAGACTATCTATTACATGAGACAAAGCTGCTGTCTGAAATGTTATGGATGCGGTAGTGGAGGAAAGGAACTTTGTTTTGCTGGATAGCTATAGTGTGCATTTAAACCTTTGCTGCAAGGTGACTGTCTCAAAGCAAAACTTGTGTGCTTGGTATTTTTACTGTCTTCAAGGGCCACAATTGCCTAAATCAGTGGTTTTCAGCTTTTTTTTCCCTATGCAGACCCCTATAAAAATTGAAATGAAGGTGTGGACCCCTTTACAGAACTTAGAGGTAGACTGCTGACCTTCAGGGGTTAATGGACCACAGGTTGCAAACTAATTCCAGTAAAAAAAAACTTTGAAAGTCTGACCAGCTATCAGTTGAGCCAGTAATGACCAGGGGTAGGCCTCTGCTCAGACCCATCCTTGTCCATAAAACCGTTTGGGGCAGCCTCCCATGGCCTTGCACTTTCAGGGAGCCCACAGGGCCAAGGGTGGCTTGGGGAATTACTTGGTGCCTGGTACTGGCATCATATGTCAGGCCTGCCCCCACACTCATCAGCAGCAGTAGGAGCCATGGCAAGCAGAGCAACCCAGCTCCGGCTTGCTCCATTCTGCCATCTCCCCGCAGGGCCGCTCCACTTCACTGTGGCGGTGGGAAGTAGAGCACTTGCCCCCCAGCTCACTCTGCTCCCCTGAGCAACATGGTTGGGAACTGTGCTTGGGGGAGTGGAGCGGGCTGGGGCTGGGTTACTCTGCTTCCTGCCACCGCGGTGAGTGGGAGAGAGCTTGACTCCTGCACGTACTGGGTGTGGTTGTTCACACTGGCACCAGGCCCCCAAGTAATCCCCTGGATTGCGTCCCTCAGGAGAGGGGCTTGGGGAAAGAGGAGCAGTGGGTAGGAAGGGGTGGAGTAGAGGCAAGGTGGGGAGGAAAAGGGGTTGAGCTTAAGGAAGGGTGGATGGGGACAGGGTTTCAAGTACAAGGGGGGTTGTCCCAGGCTCTGCGCCCTTCTAGGGACAACGCTGCCAGTGGTCACCATGGTGGCTAACAAATCCTACGCTCTCAGAAATTTCATCATCTACATGCAGATTGACATTAGCAAGAACAATCAATTTGTGCTAATGACAATCCATTGACAGTGGAAGGAGGGAATTAAATCAGCTTGTGACATGCCAGTCAGCGCAGCTGCTACTAGTGCACTAAAAGTAGCTCTGTCTTAATCCCATATTGGGGCTTGTGTTTGAAATGGACACTCTGTCAGATCCAGTTTTGAAGAGGGGTGCATTTCAGGCTGGAGGCAATATAATCATGCCTCTTTCCTACTATCTTCCCTTTATGATGGACTAAATACCCGATGGTGACAACTGTGCCAAACCTGGCCCAGCAGGAGCATATAATCAGGTATTGGTAATTTATGCAAAGTGCAGGGTCTCTTCTTTTATTAACTCATAGCTTGTTTTTAATAGTTTTTTTGAAAAAACTTCACCTGCGTCCACACTGCAATCGCGTTCTTTCGAAATTAAATCGAAAGAACCCAGGAGTTTGTTCGACATTGGTAAACCTCAAATTACGAGGAAGAATGCCTTTTTTGACAGAGCTCTTTAGAAAAAAAGGTGTGTGTGGACACAGAACAGGGACATTTTTTTGAAAGAGGCAATCGAAAAAAGCACAGGTGCCCTGGTGGCCATTCTATGAATAGCAATCTGGGCTTTCTTTCGAGAGTGTCCATGCACTCTGGATGCTCTTTCAAAAAAGCAGATCTGTTTTTCGATCCGGTTTTGAGGTGTGGATGCTCTCTTGAAAGAAGCTTGTAGTCTAGACGTACCCTAACTGATGATTATGCCCAGGGGCCTCCATTTTGCAAACATATGGCACCATTGTCCCACCCTCTTGACCACTTGGGTGCTCAAATAGTGATTCTTCCCTCCCCTTCAGGACTGGCTGCAAAAGACTTCTTAAATCAACCTCCCCTCCCCCCCCACACACATGCACATACTCACCTGCTTCCTAACCCACCACCTACTCACTGTCTCACAGCAAAGACTTCTCAGAGCCTTTAGTGCCATCCCTCTCAAAATCGGGAAAAAACAATCCAAGGGGTTCTCATTTTACTGACTTTTTACTCTGCTGGCCTCTCACCTCAGGCGAACCCCCTTAACTTATCATCGTATCCATCCGTGCTTTCTCACAGGCCTGCTGACAGAGTCCAGCTATTCAAAGCGGCCCCCGACTCCCAAGCGCTGCTATTGTGGTAGCAGTGGTGGCCAGAGCCTCAGTCCTTTTAAATTACTGCCAGAGCATGCGCACTGCACATTCTGTGCTGCTCTGAGCGGTGGGGAGGAGAAGCACCATGCTCCGTACAGCAGAGGGCTGGATGTTCCCACCCAATACCCCACCCCTTCTGGGAGTGCGAAGCTGAGCCCTCCTCTCATTGCCTAGTGGTCCACAGAGGCTGTCGGTTTCAGTAGCCTCCCCAGGAATTGAAATTAGGGGGGGTGTTCGAATTTACAAGGGGGGGTGTCAGGGCCGATGAGGGGTGACACCGTGAGGGTGAAGGTGGACTGTATGGCACCATAGTACACAAAACTGGGGGGGTGTTGGGGACATTCGGGGGAGGTATACACCCCCATGGGGGGTATAGGGAAATCCCTGGTTGGCTTCCCTGCTCTCTCAACATATGTTTTACTCTGTTAGCAAGAGAGAAAATAATTCCACAGCCAACCTACCAACAGAAGATGTGATAGTATGTGCCCAGCCAGGCCACTGAGTGCCTGCTGGCTACGAAGAGGCCGTGGTTATAGGACAAGCTCTGCTGGTGGTGAGGGGGTGGGGACAGAGACAGGCTGCAATGTTAAATGAAGTTAAAAATCTAAGTTGGTAATACTACAAATCAAAAAGGAGGCATTTTTCTCCCACCAGCATCACCTTTTGCTAATTCCTATAAACCTCTGACTATGTATCACAACTGAGTCACTAACATAGTGTGCTTCCAAACTCGCACTTTGTGAGTGTGTAGGGGAGGAGGGGATCATACGTCTCAATTTTTCATCTTCCAAAATCTGTTTTTTAAATGTATTGCAAAATCCTCGTTCTAACAATCTCCCATCTGCTCATTCTTTCAATGCATCCATTATGTAGTCTGCTGTTTTGTTAGAGAGCCAGAACTTTATGGGTTGCAATTAAAATAGTCAATACTTTCAAATATATGTTTTTCTAATGTCACTGAAAAAGCTCTGCAATTAGCACCAAATTGAAGTGATTTCTCTGCTACTGGGCTTGATCTTATCCAAGAATATGTGATGTAATTCTCTGCACCATCCATCAGAATTATAGGGCTATGATTCCATCCAGGGGTTCTTGTGACACCCTAAAATACTGGTTTGGAGGTGAGTATTTTGTGTAGGTACCAGAATGCCTCAGTGGAATTATAAATCCATAAATCACAGTGTTCATCATATTTAATGTGTACATCTGAATCCCAGATCCATGGCCTTTTATTTTTTTGTGTTCATCCTCTATTGTAATTAGCTACTACACATTCAATGTGAAACAATGAAAACTAATTTAGTGCAAAAAATAGCATCACTGGAGCACTAACAATCTGATCTAGCAAAGCAGTTAAACATATGCTTAACTTTAAGCACGTGAATGGTAGCAGTAGAAGTACTCACATGCTTAAAGTTAAGCATGTGATCAAGTCGTGTACTGGATCAGGGCCTAATTTTGAGCTTTTAAACTCTCGAAATTCAGGGCATTCCAAAATCTAAGGTAATTTTTGCTTTATACCTTATACATTTTGTGTATATACCTTAGCATGTAATAGTAGCATTTCATATTTAAAGTGTTGTAGAAATATTGGGTTACATCTTGCTAGTCTCATTTTCAAGAGCCTTCCTGTTTACTTTGGTGAGACTATTCAGGTGAGAAGGAGAAGGGCTATTATCTAATTAAATTTCATAATAGCCCTGGGAAAGATTGTAGGTAGACAGGTACCACTGCTTGCTGTTTTCTTAAGGCAATCTGAGGCATAGCGATCAAATGACTTGCCTAAGGTTTTCATAGACTCAGTGTCAGGATTGACAGGCTACAAGAACTTTGGATCAATGGATAGCTCAGCAAAATAAATATTGAATTCAGCAAAAAGTAATATTGGCAATTCTAGTGTTGTTAACAATTACCTTTTGATTTAAAAGGACACTAGCTGATAGGATGGCTAGTTTTGCAGAACTATATACACACCAAGGCTACGTCTAAATTACACCCCTCTGTCAGTAGAGGGATGTAAATTAAATGTATTGAAAGTGCAAATGAAGCGGGGATTTAAATATCCCGTGCTTCATTTGCATAAGGGCGGCCGCCACTTTTTTCAAAACGGGGCTTTTCGAAAAAAACGGCAGTTTAGACATTTTTTTAGGAGTACAAGATCTTTTGAAATGGGGCATTTCTGTCAAAAATGCCCTGTCTAAACTGCCATTTTTTTTTGAAAAGCCCAGTTTCGGGAAAAAAAGCGGCAGCTGACATAATGCCAATGAAGCACGGGATATTTAAATCCCCGCTTCATTTGCACTTTTGATATGTCTAATTTACATCCCTCTGCTGACAGAGGGGTGTAGTTTAGATGTAGCTCAAGGGTTGCTGAAACTGGTTCAAACCAAAGCTGTTCTGAACCTACCACCAAGATGAAGAAATTAGGATTGATGCTTCTGGTGGGGCATTAATACAGCTATGATAGCACTTCCGTGACAGAAATGTGCCTAACTAGAGAATAATTCCAGAGAGTTCTTTTGTTTACTGATAGAGAACCAGAAAGATCCTATCTCCTTAGGCTTTCTGACTCCAACTGTCAAAGCAGGGGTTTTCTCTGCCTTGCTCCAAACAGGCATAGCCCAAATTTAGGACATGAGAGAGCTTGGAGTATGGAAGATGTAGACTTTCTTCAGCTATGGTCCTTTCCTCTGACCTGGTGTGTGCTACTCACGTAGGTTCCAAGTGCCAGACTGAAGCACAGTTCAGAGGCTGGGAAGCCTGGCCTTCGGTTTCAACCCTGCTTTTGATGAACTAACAGACCTACGGGTAAGACAGTCTTTCCATCTTCACACAGACTAAAGTACAGATTATAATCCAGTTTCCAAGTAAATCAAGAAATGGCAAGAGGGACTGGACTATGTATAACTTTTAATTTTCATTTTCACCAACAGTTATATACTACATAAGCATCACAAGATCGTTTGACTCCTTTCAGGATAGTAAGATGGAAGAAAGGCCAATATTACTGAGAAATTGAACCACATCTTTGATCATGATCCACCCCATGAAGAGTAAAAGGCTTGCTGGAAATAAGTTCCCCGAAGGAGGAAGAGAGCTGTGTTTGGATTTTCTTTAGAAAAAGAGCAGAGTAATTTTGCCCTTTATTCAGCAAGCCATTTGAGCATGTGCTTAACTTTTGGCATGTTCTTAAATCCCACTGACTTGAAAGGCTGCAGAATTGTGGCTTATCTGACCAACGGTCCAAGCTACCACCAAGATGGTAAATTAAACCAATGGCTTCAATGTATAAGATGATCCCAGGGGTCAGGAAACATTCCCCTTTCACTTTTCCCAGCATATCTCCCTCAGGAGGCCTCAGTGTTGGACCAAATGTGGCTCTGTCTTTTAAATGATAATTTGTAGACTTGCTATTACTGAATTGGGTTAAGTGCTGTAATGCTCTATCATACAAGAAGCCCCACTTCACCATACCACTATTCACCATTCTGTATGGCCCTTTTCTGGTAACCATTACAGATGTGATTAAACTATGATAAAAATAAATCCATTAATGCTGAATGCTGTTATTTGGGTCATCTTCTATAACTGGAGAAAATGTTGTTTATGTCCAAGATCTTTCTCTCCTGCCCCATGCTTTTCAGTTCAGTCCCAAGTGAATCACAGATCAAAGCATTTCTTCTTCATTCAGCTTTATAGGCCAAATTGCAGTTTATAATGTCTGTGGTTTTAGCTAATCTGTCTCTGTGTCATCTCACTTTAAATCAACAGAATCCAGCAGAAAATAACTCATTTAAGCATGCTCTGCTGAATTGAGAGTTTTAACTTGGGCATCCTGTTACTGATCCTTTCCAAAGGTAGAAGCTTTGTGGAGCTTTGTTATTATTATAAAAATTACCCTTTTAAACAATTTGTTTTAACAGAGCTGAAACTCCATTTTGCTTCCTTCTACAAGTTTAACTACCAAATGGCAGTTTGACACTATAAAAAGCCTTTTATTTTTCATTATGTAAAGGGGATCAAACATACTTCTGCCTAATTTCAAACGCACTTGAGTATCATGGGTTCAAAAGTTCAGTTCAAACTTTAATCTTATTGTTTCTGTGTTGGAGAGATGGTGGAATTAAAATAAGGAGCAGATAGGGAGAAGGGAAAACACTGAAGGAAAAACAGATGCCATGGCCCTGAATCTCCATGGTACATCTTCTGTTGAACACTGGTATAACACCACTGAAAGTACTGGATTTACACTGAAGTTAAACTGGAGTACTACAATGTTGAATCAGACTCTGTATAAATGAAATACACAGAATCTAGATTCTCTGATGGAGTATTTTGAGTTTCCACATGGGCTGGGACAAGTGGATCCCCCAAATCTTGTGAATTCAACTCATTCCACAAACACCATGCCTTCCAGCCTTATAATCCAAAGACACCGCCCCCACTTACCTTTTCAACCCCTCCTAGACAACTTTTTATATTCCCACCCAGGGGCTCCCAAGTGTCACTGCAGACATTCCAGGGCAGCTAAGCCCATTGCAGCCCAGGTGCTGTTGAAGCTGGGCTCCTCCCTGTGGCTAGCTCTGCTCCAGCCCCACTGCCACTGTGTTGTAGCCTACAGGGCTTGGACATGGGCTCCAGCCCACTGGGGCTCCCCGGGGATGGAGTTCCCCAGCCGCAGCAGCCTCGCCTCTCCCCCACCTGACCAGGAATCCCTGGGGAACAGGGCTCGCTGGCTGTCCCGCTTCGGCCACACTCCGCCAGGGATCTCCAGTGACGGGGTGTCAGCCGACGGTCAGGGCAGTGAGTCCCTTATGACCGGCTGAAGTTCTTTTAAATTGTGCTTGGTTCTGTTACAGCAACTGAAGGAGTCAGGTTAAAGCTTAAACAGTTACTATTTTATTGTTACAGGGTAAACTTAGCTGTTAAATGCTACTGCTGTGTTACAGATAACACAGCCACTACAAAGGACAGGACAGAAATTACACTAATAAGTCACTTACAGGTACCATGAAACCCTTTTGGTTCTCTGAGCTCTTATTAAATGCATGCAAAATAGACACCTAGCAGGTATATATTCTCACCCCTGCGTTCCAGACTTGGCGTGGCCAGCGTCTTTCTCTCAATCCCTCGGGAAGAAGTAGGGCGAGGCTGGGCGTCCCACAGACCTCGGGAGACAATCAATACCTGCCAGCAGGTATAGATGATTGGAGCTCAAATGGGGTGGGCTACTATACCCCTCTTTATACCCCTTAGGTCATGTAGGCTTCTTCCTGGTCTCAAGTGGCCAATTAGGAAAAATGGCTTTGAACACCAAGTTTCCCACAAAGGGTGCAAAGCATAATTCACACCTGGGAAAGTGCAGACAATGGGCACCTCTGGTATGTGATGGGCGAAGATTCCTCTCCTGGGACAGTGCAGGCGTGTCAATTACTGGTACTTGCCATCAGGACGGCGGGAGGCCCCAGGTCGTCAGCTAGCCCATTTACTGTCTGGTTTCTGTTTATGGTAGAGGCAGGGACAGGCAGCACACCTGTGTTCCCAGGGCATCAAAGGCTGACTGCCTTTCTCTTGCTCTCTCGGGGGGGCGGAAACCAAGATGGGGTTCGTGTCTGGCTACACGGGGCTTGCTGGCTGCCCCGCTTTTGCTGCTGGCTGCCCTGCTGTTGCTGCGCCCGGCCAGGGCTCCCCGGGGATGGAGCTCACCAGTCTCCCTGCTGCCCCTCCTGACCAGGGCTCCCCAGGGGTGGGTCTCCCAGCCAGTTCGCACTCACAGGCGCTGCCGTTCTCTGGTCCAGCAACATCCATAGTCCAATGTTGCCGGGCCAGAGAATCCCAGATATTTTAGGTTCAACCTGTACTAAATTACAGCCTGTCTTCAAAAGACAGTCTAAAAACAATGCTATCTTGTTTTGACTCAGCTAAATCACTTGGAGTCATCTTCAGACTTTGCCAGCTCACTCTTGAGCTCTTCCTTCATAGACTCATAGGCTGTGTCTACACTGGGCCACTTATTCCGGAAAATCAGCCGCTTTTCCGGAATAAGCTGCGAGCTGTCTACACTGGCCCTTTGAATTTCCAGAAAAGCAACGATGCTGTACTGTACAAAATCAGCCGCTATTCCGGAAACCCTACGCTGTTCCCGCTCAGGCATAAGTCCTTATTCCGGAAAAGCTTTTCCGGGAAAGGGCCAGTGTAGACAGCTTTTCTGGAAAAGCAGAAGACACGGAAAAAAGCGGTTTGGACTGCACGAGACCCCGTAGGAGCCGTGGACTTCCTGGTAACCTGAGCTCCTACAGAGCTCGGAGGCTGCTGGGCGCCCGTGGCAGGAGCCTGCCGTAGAGTGTGCAGCTTGAGCTCTGCCACGTGGCGCTGTGCTGCCCAACAGCCACCTCTGAGCCCAGCATGGCAGCTGCGGGTGGTGAGCCACCTGCACCCGCAGGGGAGGAAGCCGCCAGGGGCCGGAAACGCCGGGCCCCATCCTGGACCCCCAGGGAGCTGGAGACCCTCCTGGAACGTGGCAGGAGGAGGAGGGTCTCCACGACCTGCAGTCCCGCCGCCGCAATGCAGACCTGTATACGCGGCTGGTGCAGAACCTGGCGCAGCAGGGACACCCCGGCCGCAACTGGGAGCAGGTGTGGTCCAAAGTCAAAGAGCTGCGGCTGGGATATGTGCAGGCCACCGACGGAAGGGGGGCAGGACCCGATGCCTGCCCCTATTACGACCGGCTCCATGCTTTTCTGGGCCAGCCAGTCCCGGAAGCCCCAGCTGTCCCTGTGGACACCTGCCAGTGGCCCC